CTGTTTCTCTGTCCCCGCTGCCCTTTCCCTCTATTGCTCCCTTTTCTGTCTCCTCCCTTCCTTCTCCTACTGTCTCCACGGAGGTGATGGGATTCTCCCCGGCCACACTGAAGCACAGCCAGCGTGCGCACTGCTCCGCACCCTACCCGTGCTGCTCACAGATGCGCTCTCCGCGATGGCACCCCCATGGGGCTGGTGTGGCACAGACACTCCTCTCCAGCAGAGTCAGCATGGTGCAGGAGCCCAGCATTGGGACCTTCCTGCTGTGTAGGGATGTGTAGGAGTTTTTTCGTTTCAAGAGCAGCTCACCTGGGAACTAAGGAAAAAGGGGGGAACTGGAGCAAAAATCGAAAGCTGTGAAACCAGCTCAGCGAGAAGCGGCTGGAAATCCGAACAGCCCCTGGCAGCACAGATTTCACAGCCGCTGCATTTCTGCACCTATCCTAGGGAGGCCACCTGGGCCAGACAGCAAGTAAACAAACAAGTCAAAATATGCAGGCAAATGAGGACGTGCTCCAAGGTTCCTTCTGCTGCCAAGAAGTCTGCCACGTTTTCCTGCCTTTACAGCTACGTGTTTGGGAAAAGGCTAAAAATAGCCCGTGAAGTTTAGCGCGCGGTGGCCTGAACGCTGGGATGCAGCTGGCTGCTGCTGCCTGTGGTTTCCCTGGAGAAAAAGCAAGGCTCTGACTCTTACCATTTAGGAAGGCAAAGGCTTCCTCTTCCGAAAAACAAACCGGATTATGCAGGACACTTGGAACCTGTGACCCCACCCAGCTGATGCTACACGAGGGCTGCCCAGAAAACATTCATTCTGCTTCACGAAAAACGTCGCAGTTACTAAAAGTTTTTGTTCACACCGGAGGGAAATGGAGACTTTTCCGAATCAGGGACTTGAATACGGGTCTTCGGCACCCCACGTGAGTGCGCTAGCCACCAAGCTAGAGTCAAATCTCCCCCCGTTGGAACTGTTCCACTTTGTACAAAGAATCAGCCATTCAGACTAAACAGAATACTCCAAATCAGGATCTGAACCCGGGTCTTCCCTATTCCAGGTAAGCACTGGGCTATTTTGGCCATTCTCTTTCTTTTATGCCCGCATGCACACACCCACCCTGGGCCTGATCCACCTGCGCGTGGAAATTTTCATCAGAACGGAGATGTTGCCACACACAGTTTTGATTTTGACAAACTGGCATTTTCCCACAAAAAAGAAGTCTTGTCAAAAAATTCCTGAGCCGCTCTAGGCTACCTTACTTCTCCCGTAACCTCCCATCTCCTCTGTGCGATACACAAACACACACCCTGCACCGCTTGTGGCCATTAAAGACCCCAAGGCACTGGTTCAGGGGGTCTCCAACTTCATTGCAGCACGACCCCCTTCTGACCACAGTGGAGCTTGGGCTTCGTCCCCAGGCCCCAGCAATCTAACGCCAGACTTGGCGACCCCATTAAAATTGAGAACCGCTGCACTAGTTTATTGTGCATGAGCGTTGGGGGGGGGGGGCGGGGGAAGCTTAAACTGATTATGTCTACACTACAAGCACTGGAGTAAGGCTGCTGGCACGTAGGGGATTCCTACAGCAACAGAAAGGCTTCTCCCATTGCTGTAGTAAATTCACCTCCTGAGCAACATACCTAGGTTGACCTACCTACATAGACCAGGCCTGAGGGGCAAAGCGATCTGCCCACAGTCACACAGCAGGTCAGTGGTAGTGCCAGGAATAGAACCCACGTCAGCTGAGTCCCAGTCCGGTGCTCTATCCACTAGGCCACACTGCTGATATACTGATGACACAGTTCAGTCACTAGCAAAACAGGCCAGATTAAAACCAGTGTCTGAGTGGTAAACAATGTATCCCTTTACCAGTCCCCTGGGCCATCCAATCCCCCGGCTGCACCAGGCGAATGCAATCAGTATCTAATGTAGAACTATGTCCACATCATGCTATTTGTCTAACGGTGATATATAAAAAGGTGCATGCATGTGCGTGAGAGACGAATGGAAACATTCAAGTACACACAAGTGCTTTTAATTTCTTTTTTAAAGCATGTCTGCTATATGAAATAGGCAACTAGATGTGCCCATTTTGCAAAGAGAAACAGAGAATGCATTCACTTTGCAAATTCAGCAACAATATACTGCCTAGTTTACAAAAATCGGCAGTACGCTTCCCCCTAAATTGAAAAATCCCCA